AAGCTTATGTAGCCCCTCAACCTTGTGTCACATTTGGCCTTGATTATATTCAGAGGTCTTTATTTTGCTCAAAAATGTTTAAGAATGTGCTCAAATGCCTTCACGGATACATCTCTGTACTTCAGGGGGGTTTTGTTTCTTTCAATGGGGAAGATTTTTATTTATTTATTTATTTTTTTTTTACTGCAGTCACCTTGGTGTATATCATTATATAAATTTCAGGTGTACATCATTATATTTCGACTTCTGTGTAGACTGCATCTTGTTGACCACCAAAAGTCTAGTTACCATCTGTCACCATAACTAGTTTTTTTTTTAATTAAATATTCAAATGCTCAGGAAAACTCCTGTGATTCAAACCTTGTGCCTTCTCTTTTCTAGAGGGGTGGGGAGCAAAGTATAGCTTTTATGGATTAGGAGAGTGTCCTGTGTCTGTTTAATCAGAGCTCTTATCTGGAGGGAGGCTGCCAGGGCCAAATCTTAGGTAAACATTTTCGTGGGTTGGTGAGTGACTATCATGTTTGTTACAGTGGCCTGAAACAAAGAAAGAAGGAACACGGTTTTTGTCCTTCAGCCTATAATCTAGTGAAATATAGAGGAGGCATTATCGTGCTGCCTCCATTTTTCCAATGTTATCAGTCTTTAAGAAGCTGAATTAAAAAACACTCTAGACACAAATTGAATCAAGCATATTTACTGTGTGTGTACTGAAGTGTGCTTTCTAGCAGGACTGACTTCTGACATGCCATTTGGGTACTAATGTGTGTTCATAAAGCTGGCAGCCCTGGTGTTAAGGCATAAAATTTGGAATCAGACTGATCTGTGTTCAAATCTTCAACTGCTGTTTATTAGCTGTCAAACCTTGGACAGGTTACTTCACCTCTTTGAGTCTAATTCCTAAAATGAGGAAATGAAGTTATCGCCAACTTCATACGGCGTTATGAGAATTCAATGAGATGATATATGTAGAGGGTCTCAGAGTGTTTGGGGCCGGAGTTTGTGCTTAGTAATTATAGGTACTCTTTCCCTCATGGCGGGCCCTTTCCTTTCCCTCAGACCCACGTCAAATGTCACATCCTCCCTGAGGCCTTCACATCTGCAGAAGGTTAAACCCCACCCCATCCAAATGACAGTTTTATTAAATTGAATTTGAATGCCTCGAGGCTACACATGCATCCTAATTCTCGCAGTCCTCGCCATTCCCTTTTATTAAACCAGTTACTTCATTCATTTGTTATCTTTGATCTGCTCCTGCCATATAATTATGGTTATTTCCTTCATAATAGTGTGTCGTTATTCCGAGTACATATAAACTATTTAATTGCCTTTCTTTTTGGTGTCTGTATTACCTAGAGCTGTGCTGTACAGTATGGTAGCCACTAGCCACATACGGCTATTGAACTCCTGGAATGTATGGTTAGCACAACTGAAAAACTGAATTTTAAATTGTATGTAATTTCAATTAATTTAAATTTAAAAAGCTGATAATTGATTCAATTACTAGAAACTTTTAAGTATATTTGGAACAACTTGAGTATGTGAATCGACTCTTTGAACTGTAAATTTTGTGAAGTCTAAATATAAATCAAGTATTTCCAATGAAAATTTAGCATCCAAATTGTTAGGTACTGTGAATATAAAATACACAATATGAAATGTAAAATGTCTCATTAACAATCTTTTTATATTGATTACATGTTGAAATGATAATTTTTTTGCTATATTGGGTTAAATTAAAGATATTAGAACTAATTTAACTTATTTTGACTTTTAACATGGCTACTAGAAAATTTTAAATTACATGTGTGACTTGGTTCATATTCTAAAGGACAGTTGCATCAGACTGTAACCTTGACGAGGGTAGGGCCCTCTCTCTCATGTTCGCTGATGCATCCAGTGCCCAGTGTGATGTTCGACACACTGTAGTTAAATGTGGATTTGCGGATCAGATAAATGATTGACTCAGCTTACTCAGTTGTTTCTGTTTGCTCCTAACACTGGCTTATACCTTGCTTTTACCTTACGCTTCCTCAACTAACCAGCAAATTCTCTTAATATTAATTAGTTCAAGTTTAGCTTCCTAATTTCTTTTCCTTAACTTAATTGTATACTACTGGAAGTTAATCAGCTTTTCTTGAAAGTAAACTGGAAGTTTTTGACAGATTTCTGATGCCTGAGTGATAATCCTTCCCAATACAAGACTTGGTCACATCAGTCTCTCCTAGCTTTGAAAATTATTTGATTTATTTTAAGCACTTTCTCTTGCCTTCAGTTGCATTTCCCAGCACATGACAGTCAGCCTTCTGTGTACATTATAACTTTGTTTCAGGTCTAGGTCGTAGTGCAGTCTTCTAAAAATACATTTTAAGTAACAATTAGGAATGCAATTATAGTTAAAATATAACTAGGTGTGATGTAAATAATTCAACTGAGGTAATCGTCAGATTAACAGATGCTTTTTGTATATAGCTTGATTCCTACATAGCAGGTGATAAGAGCCATATCACATGTCATAAGACCCATCCTTGATTTCAGAGATGTTTAAACCTGAGAAAATAAATGGAGACCTGAGGAATAAGTGGGGTTGTCAGGCAAAGAACAAGGGGGAAAATGTATTAGATGGGGAAGAGAGCATATTCAGTATATTTGGTAGCAAGACAGAGCAGGGCATATTGGAGGACTGAAGAAGTTCCGTGTGACTAGACTGTAGAGTGAAGAGGGTAGAAAGCTGTGGGAAAGAGCACTTGGTGGTGTGATGTGGGGTCATGTCAGGGTAGGCTTCCCATAAGCAGTGCTGTTTGAGCTGGGCTTTGACGTGAGTGGGAGTCCATGAGGGAATGGTGAGGATGGGAAGAATATTATAGGCAGAAGCAAAGATATTGTCATAACCTCACATTGGGATCTAAATAAGAACATCATAGATGTCTTATCCTTTTTTGACTGACAGTTTGGGTTTCTCTCGCCTTCAGGCTGATGAATTCATCCGAGCAAATGCCACCAACAAGCTCACAATCATAGCCGAGCAAATCCAATATTTGCAAGAACAAGCCAGGAAGGTAAGTTGGCTTTTAGGCAGGCTTTCATTTTCTTCATTTAATTCATAGGATTAACTGAGTTTACTTGTAATCATTGTAGGTTGTTTATCTTCACCCTCCTCCTAGAAATACAGAGGTGTGGGGTGAAATAGAGTAAGTCCAAGAGATTAAGTATAAGTTTTTCACTGGGAGAAAGTTCAGTGAGGTAAAGCATTTTGAGGGGAAAAATGCTTTTGGTTATAAGAGAAATGTACTTACTATAGAAAAATAGGAAAAAAATTTAAAAACCACTCAAAGCCAGTAATGCTCAACACTTTGAAATATAATTCTTCTAAAGGCATTTTTGCAGCATAGTAGCATAGTCTAATTTTTGTCTCTTCAGAATGATCTGGATCCCAGTAGTGATTCATTGCCATGGGGGAGCAATATCCTAAGCATTGAAGAGTTTCAGATTTTGATTGGGATGATCGATGAATATGAGTGCCTGTTCCTTCCAGTACCTGATTTGTTACATCTGCGGCTCTTAGGTTTTGGAAGATGCTCGCAGAGATGCTGACTTGCACCATGCAGCTTGTAATATCATCAAAAAACCTGGCAACATTTACTACCTTTATAAACGGGAGAGTGGTCAGCAGTATTTTTCCATTATTTCGCCAAAGGTAAGAACATTTATTTTTTTTGCACAAAAAGCTATTCTAGCCTTTGAGAAATTCTTGGCATGTGTATGTGAAAATGTAGGCACAGGGATTGGTAAATGGTTTCCTAGAAAATTGGAGGTATGTGAGCCCAGACATGACCCTGAAAAATATACATGTGCCTAAATTATTTCACAGTCATCTCTGTTAAGGGAGGTATCTGATGTGTATTGTAATGCTTTCCAAGGCTGATTCTGACTGGTCTGAAGTGAAAAGCCAAAAAAGAAATTTGTGGCATAATTAGGAAATGAGCTCAGTTTCTTTACTGCCTACCCTGATCAGAGCTGACTCCTTTGCTTTCTCTAGGAATGGGGAACAAGTTGTCCACATGACTTCCTTGGTGCCTACAAGTTACAGCATGACTTGTCCTGGACTCCATATGAGGACATTGAGAAGCAAGATGCTAAAATCAGCATAATGGACACGTTGCTAAGCCAGCCAATGGCCCTGCCTCCACGCGCTGAACCCAACTTCCAGGGACTGACTCACTGAGAGTGGACTCTGACAGACAGCTCTCATGGCAAGGACCTGTCACCTCCTGCTTGTCCCTGTTCTCTGCCTTGATGGGAGGTGACATGAGAATTGAGGGCATGTAGGTGAATCATGACCATCTCGGAAGGAGACCCTGTGTGAATGTAAATGCTGTCGTGATTATTACTTTGAGTTGTGATGGTAATGAATCACATCAGTCTCTTTTGGAATCCTCTCTGGATCACAGCTGGCAGTGTACTTTCCTTCTCCTTTATCTCCATCTGTTCTCCCCATAAGTCAGAGCATTAGAGAAAGAAGAATTTCTTCTTCCCACAAAAAGGTTGGCAAGTCATTTTCCAGAGAGGACTGTTTTTAGTCTTTGTAACTGAAAGTGTTTAAGATTAGGGTTGAGGCTGTTTAATAGTTATTGCAACTCCAGCTTCAAATTCATCTGGGAACAAGAATGTTGGGTAATGGAGGATGATAAACAACTTGGCTTGGCTGGATTAGAGTGTGTGATCCTGGTATTTCTGCACTGTTGATGAGATTTGGCTTGCCCCTTCTGTGCTTGATGCCTAGCTAGAGACTAGAGAATCTGAGGCAGCAGCAATGGCCAGGATTTGGGAAGGTCAGCCTCTAAACTTACAGAATTGTAGACTTGGAAGAGATGTTGGAGGCTGCCACTAACAATTGTATGAATCCACTCTGTAGCCTCAGAGGGGGAGATCCAGAGGTCAGCCGTCTGCAGCGGGACAAATCCATTTATTTAAATGGCATCTTTAAAATATTGTGGAAGAGAGAATAGGGCGGTAGGTGAGGAAAAAGAAAAACAGGCAACCTGTTGATTATGAGTTAACTGATTGAAACTCATTTTGACCTGAATTATTAAAAAACTTAACAGAGACTTTTTGGCCGAGTTACTCTAGTTCTGATTCTGGACTATTGTGGGGCTCTACCTCACTTCCTGTTTGTTCAGTGGGATTAATTAAATGTATAGTACATCCAGCATGGCTGTACTTCTTTTAGTGCCATGTACTCCATTATAGCGTGCTCTAAAAGGAGAGATGTGTACTTGAAAACACAGTTCCTTTCTGGGGATGGATGTCTCTCGTGCTGATCTGCTTGGCACAAAACCCTAACCCCATCTGGTGTTCATGGCCTTTCCTTAAAGGCCGTGCTCCTTGTGAACTATAAATGGTCTGCAAAGGCCCAGCACAGGATGGGGCTAGACCCTGCAAGGTCACCCAGGTGATACTTGGTCACTCAGTTCACAGGGGAGTCCTCTGTGGAGTCAGCTGCAAAAGCCTCTGACTGGGTTGCTGCAGGACACTCAGTGGTACGGTAGTTGGTATAGTGGTATAGCAGTTGATTCTGACCTCAGAAAGTTTCCCAGGTTTTCAGAAGGTTCTGACCTGCATGGTAATGACACATTTTGAGTAGTGCTTTATTAGTTATCTATTGCTGCATAAATCACCACAAACTTAGTGGCTTAAAACAACACACATTTATGATTTCATAGTTTCCAAGGGTCTCAGGGGTTTAGGCACACTTAACTGTGTCGTCTGCTTCAAGGTTTCTCACAAGGCTGCAATCAAATTACTGGCCAGGGCTCGGTTCTCATCTGAAGGCTCAACTGGAGAAGGATCTTTTTGTAAGCTCACTTAAGTTGTTGGCAAAATTTCTGTTCCTCAAGGGTTGTTGGACTGAGCTTGTTGACTGTTTACTAACAGACTGTTAACCAGAAGCTGCCCTTAGTTCCTTACCACAGGGGTCTCCCCACCATGGCCAGCAAGGACGGCAGTCTGCTAGCAGGGTGGAAGACACAGTCTTCCATAGTCCAGTCACAGGAGTGACATCTCATACCTTCGCTGTACTCTGTTGATAAGAAGCGAGTCACTAGGCCAGCCCACACTCGGGAGGGAATTACGCAAGGGCATGAGTGCTAGAAGGCAGCAATCATTGAATCGTTGAACAGATCTTAGAATCTATCTGTCCCACTGCTCAGCCGAGAGGGGGGAAGGAGGGTCCTGGGTAAAAGAGGCAGCATTACAAAGCGGTTAAGTGTGGAGGTGGTGAAGTCACAGATCTGGACTTGACTCCCAACTCTGACAAAATAACCTCCCTGCTGGCATCCCTGCTTCCTCTATCCCCTCTCCAGTGCATTCTGCAGACAGTCATCAGCTTGATCTTTTGAAAATGCAAATCCCCCTCACTCTTGATATTTCCTAACTACTGAAGCAGACAAGAGGGCAGTGATTCGAAAGAAAACTTCCTTCTGTTCAATAAGGTGTGCTCCCCACACTGACCACAGGCAGTGCCGTTGGTCTTTCCTGCTTGAGCCAACTGCCAAACTTAGGGAAAGTTAGTGGCAGTGTGAAGTGATTTTGGAGGTAACATCTCAGAATGGGGTGCTAGGACCCATTGATTATATACATCCATCTACCCATGCAATCATTTCATAAGTGTTAAGTGCCTTCTAGATTCCGGGTTCTGAAGCATAACACAACTGAGTAAGACAGACCCGTTTCCAAGGAGCTCACAGTCTAGTGGGGGAGAAACCCAGTTGACAATTACAATATGGAATAAGAAGGGCTGTGACAGAGGTAAGCGTGGAATATCATGGAGCACCGTGGAGGGGTGCCTAACTCAGCTTGGAGAATTTGGGAAGACTTCTTGGAGGAGCCAACGCCTGCTTAGGTTTGAAAAACAAAGAGTTAGAGCTTGGTTGGAGACTCCGGCTGTCCTCTCTATAGGAAGGTCATCTTTGAGGTTTGGGGTGGGGCTCATTTTTAGGTGGAGTATATTTTTGAATGAGAAAGAGATAGCCACTTAATAAGCCATATCAACCAAAATAATCCTGGCAGTCAGGAGCGGGGTAGAGGTAGGTTCTGATTAGAAAACTCTTAACAGCTAAGAGATAGGTAGATGAAAAATGGGAGGAAAAGCAATACCAGACAAGAAGCAATAGGACACTTGAGGAATTGTAGCCAGTTTAAAGTGAAGAATATGGGCCAGGGGCTATGGGAAAAGGGTTAATTGTAGGCTTTGGGGTAGGGAGTTGGTAATATTGGCCTTTTAGAATACTGTTTTGGCAGCAGAGGATGAGTGGAGGGAAGACCCTTAGGAACCTCCATCCCTAATCAAGAGATGATGGAGGTCTGAACTAACATAGCAGTGGTGGAAAGACGGTACCAGATTTCATTGATTGTAAGATGTGCTTTCCTTCCCCCACATTTTATTATCTCTGAAACCTGGAGGCTTCTAAAAATCAATGACATGTCTTAGTTTAAGTGGCAGCATTTTTTTCTTTCTTAGAGCTACATAAAATAATAGTGTGTCATACAATGGATGGCATCTTAGATTTGATGAAATATGGTATTTTGAAAGTACAATAAATTGCCATCTTTTTTTTTTTTTGAGGAAGATTAGCCCTGAGCTAACCTGCTGCTAATCCTCCTTTTTTTTTTTTTTTTTTTTTGCTGAGGAAGACTGGCCCTGAGCTAACATCCATGCCCATCTTCCTCTACTTTTTATGTGTGGGACGCCTGCCACAGTATGGCTTGATAAGCAGTGCGTAGGTCTGCACCCAGGATCTGAAATGGTGAACCCTGGGCCGCTGAAGCAGAATGTGCTAACTTAACTGCTGTGCCACCGGGCTGGCCCCAGATTGCCATCTTATTAATTAATAAGATGTGAGGGGATGAGTGAGAGGAAAGAATCTTGGATAATTCTTGAATTTCTGGCTTGAGTATCTATATGGATGGTGGGGATCCACTCAACAAAATATGGAAGAGGAAGATATCCCTGATATTTTCCAGAATAATTAGCAATCCATGTTTGCTTCAATAATCCACTGTGCTGGCCCTGCCAGGGTTTACTGGGTGTGAGTGATGGCTGGCTGTACTTCCCTGTCTCCATCTTAGGGGTCTAGAAAGAGGGAAGGAGGGCTGGCTGGTGTCCTTATCTCCTCAAGTTATTGTCAGTCAATGCCCAAGCATTGAGAGTATTGGTGATGTAGATATAGATATATAGATGATAAATACTGTTCAGTGAGCTTTTATTCTGCCAGGCGTATCCATGATCTGATTTAATTTTCACATAACCCACCATTATGTATTCCTGTTTTACAGAGTAGAAACATCTGCTCAGAGATTAAGCAACTGGCCCATGGTTATACAGCTAGAAAGTGGCAGAGGTCAGACTCAAAACAGTCCTGTTTGATTCAAGTCTGAGCATAACCATAACCCTGTTTTGGACGATTAAGACAGTCCTAGAGGATCTCAGCGTAGAGGTATAAAGAAAGTAAAATACAGAAGTGATAGAGTAAGATGTGTATATGGGATTCCATAGGAGTAGTGCACTTGACTGCTTAGTGATGAGCGGGCAGGGGATGTGTATCAGGGCCCAGAGCAATTAAGGTCACATGACGTGTAACCAATTGAGCCAATATCTCTGGCACTAAAGCCCATGTGCGAAACTCCCATGCACAAGATAGGGGCGTGCCCTGAAGGAGCTGGAGCCCGGAAGGAGGGAGCTACCTAGTGCCCGCGGTAATGAGACTTCTGTCGTCTAAAGCAGCGTTTGATTCAGTGGACCACTCCCTGCTTGAAAGCTTTTTTTCTTCATTTTGATTTGGAATATCACCATCCTGCTTTTCTCTTACTTCACTGACTGCGCCTTTTTGTCTCCTGACACCTACCTTTTGGACTGTTGTGGGGCCAAGTCCTTTGCCCTCTTTTATTTCTCTTTACATGGTGATCTAATGCATTCCCATGGCTTTACATAGCACCCAGATGCTGCTGACTCGCATGCATGTCTCCAGCACTGATCTCCCCCAAGTTTTGTTCAGACTTGTTTGTTTATCCAGCAGCCTCACTAGACATTATTACAAACCTAACGTGACCAAAACGAAAGTCTTAAGTTCTACCAAAAACCTGTTTTGTCACCAGTCCTATTTCCATCAGCACCTATCTCATGCTGCTGTTGAGGCCAAAAATCTAAGTCATCCTTGATTCCGTTTGTTCTTCCCACAGCAATCAGCAAGCCTTCTCATCTGTCTTCAACATACCTCCCAAATCTGACCGCTGGTCACCACCTCCACCCCTACCCCCTTAGTCCAAGCCACCAACATCTCTAGCCTGGACTAATATAGTAGCCTCCTAAATTACTCTCCTGCCTCCATTCTGACCCTCCTTCAGTCTATATCCACAGAGGCTTAGCATCGTCTTTCACAAATATAAATCAGGTCACAACACCTCTATATAAAAGTGACCCAAGAATTTCTCATTACACTTAGAATCAACTCCAGACTTCTGGCCGAGGTTCTATGTGACCTGCCGTTCTCAGTGCTCACCCTGTTCCCGCTGACCTTGCTGCTCTTTTAGTACATCAAACTCCTTCCTACTTCACAGCGTTTACATTTGCTATTCCCTCTGCCTGGGACATTTCCCCCAAGATCTCTGCACGGTTTGCGTCTTCTCATCATTTAGGTCCCTGCTCAAACATCACTTCACTGATACCCTGTCGGAAACACTACCTCCTCTCACCTCACAATAACTGCTGATCCTGCTCTGTTTTCCAGAGCACTTATCAGGACCAGGCCTTATGTGTTGCCTTTCCTCCATACTTGAGTGTAAGTCCCGTGAGGAGAGTGCCTGTCTTGTTCACGGCAATATCCCTAGCACCTAAAATAGTGCTGGCTCATCATAAATCCTCGAGTAACGGAGGAATGGATGGACATCTGTGGCTCTGTACTTATATCCCGCAGAGGATCTAAGTCAATGCAGCTAATAGAAACATAGTGTGAGCCACACGTGTGATTTTAAAATTTTTAGTAGCCACATTAAAAAGTAAGTGAAATTAACTTTAATGATACATTTTATCTAACCCAGTATATTCAAACTATTAACATTTCAACAAATAATGCTAAAAAATTATTAGTGAGTTATTTTACATTCTTTTTTTTGAATTAAGTCTTCAAACTCTGGTGTGTATTTTACACTGTATGGCACAGCTTAATTTGGACTAGCCACGTTTTAAGTGCTTAAGAGCCATATGTGGCTTGTGGCCACCATATTAGTGCAAGCGTAGATAGTTTCACCTTACTGCTCTTGTCTCTACTTCCTGTGAGATTCAGAAACTTCTGGCAGATGAGGAGGAGGGTCTTTCTTAGCTACCCCTGCCTCCTCTCCTTCTTCTGAGGGAAGTCTTGGGGATGTCCAGGCTAACAGATGCATGATCATGTTCTTAGAATAATCATAATGATTGAGCTTCTACTCTGCTTAGCACTTCATATAATCTCATTTAACTCTCAATTCCATTTTATAGATTAGGAAATAGGTTCAGGAAAGCAAACTAACCTGCTCAAATTTACACATTGGGTAAGTGTTAGAGCTGGAACGTAAACTTGGTTAAAAGTTAAAGCCAGTATTATAACCGCTTTGCTACAGTTCTTAATTTGCCACTTGAATGGTCCACGTGGCATGGACAAATGACGAGAAGTGCAAATGATAGAAAGAAGCCGACCTGACCCTTGGGCTTCGACTGGTAGCACACTTGTAGGCTTGGTTCTTTCTTTTAGTTTCACAGTCTGGACCCCAGCATCCCTTTACAGCCTCCTCTTCCCCAGCTCTCTTCCAGCCCATCTCTCACACACCATGCATTCTGGTCTCCTCACCTGCCAAGCCTTCCCACACTCGCCACCATCGAAAGACTAGTTCCCTCCTCTCAGATCCCTCCATCCCCCTCCACACCCCGCCTCCCCGCCGCGCCCATTACAAAACCTAGGGCTCCCCTGCAAATTGAGGCCCCTCTTCCCGCCAAACAAAGCCCCCCTTGCCCCTCCCGTGCCTCTCGGGGATTGTGAGCTAAGAGCCAGGGATAAGAGGCTCGGGACTGTGTGGCCCCCTCGCCTGGGCTGGCCCGCCACCGCCACACAGGAAGCGAGGAAGGAGCGCCGCCCCCACCCCATCTAGGAATGTCCAGTCCCCGGGTGAGCCTCCGCGGCGGCGCAGGTCCCTCCCCAGAGTCCTGTCCGCCACCAGGCTCCCGGGAAAGGAGCTGTCCCAACGTGCGGGAGCCCAGCCCCGGCTCCGTCTTTTCCATCTTTTCGCTGGGGTGGCGTTGTTGTTGTCATTGTTGTCAAGTGAGGCCTGGACAGGACACGGGACAGCGGGCAGGGAAGGGCAGGGAGGGAAGCGCTGGTTCTCCAGTTCGGACAGAACAGCCTCCGGAAGAGGCCGGCTCTCTGTTGGGGGGGGTGGGGTGGGCGGGGGGAGTATGGTGGCCTCTCCGGCAGAGACAGGGGGGCGTCTCTAACTAGAGTGACTGTGCCCTGTGTCTCGCCGCCTGCTGGAGGCCTCCACCTGGAGCATCCTCACTCCAGTGTTGTGCCTGGGGTTCTGGGCAAGGCACTGGCACCGCCATTCGTTTCCTTTCCTGAGAAATCTCCGGTATCTTACTCAACTCTCCCCTCTCCTTCCGCAAACAATCCCAGTGTCCCGCCATTTCTGCTCGCTCACTGCTCTCTCCTCACTCGCCAGTCTCATGGCTGGTTTCCTTTACTTCAATTTCTTCTTCTGGATTCCCCCCTCCCCCATCCCCTTCCTGAACATCACTGCCTATCCACAGGCTGCAATTCAAGGTCACACGGGCATGTCACTAACTGTGGCCTCCCTGCCGACTTGGCCTCCTGGCAGCCCTGTCTCCCTGGGATGCAGCCTCTTCATCGTGCTTTCGCACCTGCAAAGCCCTTTGCCAAGAAGGCCTCCGCTTTGTTCATCCTTAGAGATGCTTGGTAAATATCACATAGCGAAAGCTCCCCCTGCCCTCACCCCATACTTAGTCCAGTCTTCCCCTGTGCACCCGCGGCAACTGGACACCCCCTTGGCCAACATAAACTTGCCATGCTGCCTTCGTTGTCCCTATACACATCTTCCTCCCCTACCAGACTCTGTCCAAGCTTCTTGGGGATGCAGTCTGGGTCTTGTTCTCTCTGTCCCCAGGACACACAGGGCAGGCACAGAGCAGGCATCAGCAAAACCATTTTTTTTAATGAGTAAATGGAAGATCATAAGTGTTGGGGAGATGCTGGGTGTGTTAAAGGGGCCGGGTTGTTGAGAGTTCGTTTGAGAAGGCTTCTTGGGAGACAAAGTGAAGAGGCTTTGAGGCAGGGGAGAGAGGTGATTTGGTGCAGTGGGATGATCTTGGGGAAGCAACAGAGTGACAAACTCTGTTAATTTAACCATCATTAAACAACTTCTATTGTCAGGCCTCCTGCTGGGCACAGGGGACCTCCATCAGCACGCACGTGGCTTCCCCTGTAGTAGAGGAGGAAGACCAGCTAGGCAATGCCAATACAGAGCGCCAAGTGTCGCACGGTGAGTGCAAGGAGATGTGGCTCTGCAGAGGAGGAGCACCTCCCGGCTCAAGGGGTGTGTCAGACTTCCCAAGGAGGGCCACTACCCAACCCAAGACCAGAAGGAGGGCCAAAGAAGGGGTCAAGGGGCAATAGAGAGAGGAGGCTGAGAGTTGAGCAGGGCCTCATCCTGAAGGGCTTGTATACCAAATGGAGTTGGACTCTATCCTGAGGGCATTGGGCAGCCGCTGATGGCTTCCAAGAAGCTGGGGAGTGACGTGATCTAGTCCTGCCGGCTGCTGCTATGCAATGCCTCAGCTCTGCCTTTTTTCTGAGAAGGCTTCTCTGAGCCCCCTGACAGGCTGGGCCTCTCTTTATGCTCCCTCAGCAGCCTGACCACTTCTCCTCTTCTGTGCGGTGTTGCATATCTCTGCTAGACTGAGCTTCTTGAGGGATGAGACCAGGTCTTAATCTTCTCTGTGTCCCAAGCACCAGCCACCAAATCTTGCTCGTGACTAAATGTTTGCTGAATGAATGGAGTGTTCCCTTATTCTCTGGATTTCTATAGCCCTTCCTCTCGGGTCTACATCCTTTCATACCTGAGACCTGTGCATTATGCTGAAAATAGCATTTAATTGGGAAAGAGGATGCCCAATTCAAATCCTGGCTCCACCATTTACTGAGACAAGTTGCTTAACTATCCTGAAATCTCAGTTTCCCCATCCATAAGATGAAGTGCCATCGTGAACAGAGTCTATAAGACTCCACATGCTTGCATGAGTCTTATTTTCCTAGATAGATGTAATTTCCACAAAGGCAGGGACCAAGGGTTTTCCCCAGCACTTAGCTCAGTCTGAGCCTACAATGAGTACAGTGCTCAGTCCCGTTGGTTGGTAGACAGCAGAGTACAGAGGTAAGAACTCTGAGAATGAAGTTGTAAGTCTTGTTCTGCCACTTCCGGTGTAACCTTGAACAAGGTTCTTCTCCTCTCTGAGTCTCTTTGCCTTACCTGGCAAGTAGGAACATTAAGCCTTACCTAGCAGACCTCACAGGACCAATGGAAGCCACAGAAGTGAAAGTGCTTTGTGAATGAAAGGGATAATATAGTAAACAATTGATCATTAATTAAAAGAAATAACTGTGTAGTAGTACAGGTGAGGCGTGTCTAGGAATTGGTAAACATATACCAGGCATCTGCTGACTGCCTCTGAGAGGCAGGGATACTGGGATTCTGCTTTTTCAGGCAACAGTAAGCTAGGCTGGAATAGAGGTCTTGCTGGGGTCAACCCTGAGGCCCAGGGTAGACTGGGAGGGAGGGGTTCCTGGGGAGGGAGGATGCAGCCAGTCCTGTGCCTCCCTCCCCTCCCAGATTTCTCTGGCTTGCATTGCTTCCTGTCTTTGGTTTTGAGGGGCTCTGGCATGAGAAGGTCTCAGGAGTCCTGATGGCTTTAGCGATGTAGCTCCTGAAACCTGTTGGAGAATGAGGCTGGCCTATGGGAGCAGTGAGCCCCACAGTGCAGCCCTCATCAGCTCCTAGTCCCAAATGCCAAGTCTGGTCCCCTCCCAGGCTCTGACATCTTGGTGGCAGGGTTTATAGGAAATGATCATGATTTTTCTTGACTCTTGCCCAGACCAGAAGGGCCTGGGGCTGTTCCAAGGGGCAGGGGGATGCAGAGTCTCAGCTTCTTCACCTCTAAAATGAATGAGGATTAAATGAGAGAACAGACATGGAAACACCTCAGAACTTGTGTATTTCACTCAAGCGCAGGATTCCTATTTGTGAGTAGCATGTTTACACCAGCCACTGGGGCTTTCTGGTCTCAGAGAGCACTGGGGCTCTTTCTCCAAAAGAAACTTAGTTTCACAAACAGTTTATGTGTAAGGAGTGCACACATTTAGACAGGCAGGCTGTGAAAATGGGCAGAGCCCCTGATTCCCTGCTGTAGAGAGAGGCTGGGAGGAAGGAGGGGCCCTGGCAGGGCCTGCCGTGACCTGTGGAGGCTGAAGCTGCCAACAGGGCTGGCCAGCTGAGCTCTCCCAGGCCCCACCCCACAAATCTCCTCCTGCTGAGATCTATGCCCCCAGCAGAAGCAGCACGAGACTTAGAACCAAACAGGCAGGATTAGGTTTTATTCACCTAGTATGTGACTCTGGGCTAGTATCTCCATTTCTCTGAACCTGTCTCCTCGTTCATTGAATGGGGAGAACCGTAGCACCATCTTTCAGGCCATCAGGATCAGAAGAGAGAACGTAGTGAAAAGGGCTTTGTGAACTCTTGTGCTGTCCATATTCATTTCATGTTTCTCATCTCCTCCCCTGTTGGAGCTGAGCCTGTTGTTGTGGTTGGGGTCTGTCAGAACCAGGACCTGGGGGCACCTCAGCCGCAGCCCTGTCCTTCTGCGACTGTGAGCGTGGCCTGTGGGACAGAGGCACCTGAGTCTCCAGTGGGTCCCTTTTGTGCTTCCTTCCCCTCTGGTAGCCTCTCTCCCCTTGGGACCCTCCTGGGGTGAGGGGGTTACCCCTTCCCAGCGTTTTTTGTTCCTGTGTATTAAAAGTATTATTTAGTTATTATTAAAGTATTATTTAATATACACTAAAGTTTTAGAAGTAGCTTTGTAATTTAAAAAGGGGGGTTCATCTATGACAAAGGGCTATATGACAAAAGGCTCATCTCTTGGTCGGGGGAAGCTCTATCCCCCTGCACCGTGGGCCAAGGGGGTCCCAGGAGGGTCAACATATGTGCTGGAGGGAGGTCTGTGCTATAGGGCAAGAGGTGCAGTCAGAGACGGGGTGGAGACTACAGTTGTGCTGGTTCTCTCGCTTTGCTATTGATCTTTCCCAAGATACTCATCTTTAGCATCTTTGTCCTTTGCCCCCTGGGTCTCCTTCATCTGCCTCCTGTCTCCCTCATTCCAGCCAGTGGAATAGTGTTGGGAGGGTGCAGTTCTGGGATGAGGTCTAGGAGACCAGGAGCTACCTGGTCCCTGGGAGGATCCCATAAGTAAACCTCTTATGGGACTCTTTGACCTTGGGAACCCCTTGCCCCTCTCCCCTGGGCCCCAGGTCAGTGCACCAGTTTCTGTCTGATTGACAACCAGAGCCGCTCCCAGATGAGTGAATTTTCCTGGAAGGATGTTACCAGTGCCTTGTCCCTGGCCAACTTGATCCTGGGGCTTTTCTCCATCTTCTGCAGCTTCTGCAAGTAGGTCTTGGGCCCAGCAAGCTCTTAGCCAAGAGCTGGAGCCAATGGCATGAGGGAAGGCGGGGGGATTCTAGAGAGCCAGGCACTGAGGCATAGGGATCAAGTGGGGACAGCAGAAAGTACAGTGGTTGGGAGTCAACGGGCCAAGATCCTAGCCTCAGACCTTGGCTAGGTCACATCTCTGAGCCTTCATTTCTCCATCTTTAAAACAAGGAGTTTGTGCAATGATCTCTAGTTCCTTCCAGTTAAGGCGTCTAGAATCATTTTTATGAGAAAATCAAGAGATTCTATTCTGATAGTCTTTACCCAATCCTTAGGTAGGCAGGCTACTATTCAAATTTTTTGATTCTTAAATTAGAACATATGGTCTGGTAGAATATTTGAAATTAGCACTGTTCTAGAAAATCTGAGACATATATATGGGCCCCCCAAAAGTTGTAAACAAATTATATTTCTATAAATTGGATCATATTTCAGTGCTTTGGCAAATCAGCTCTTTAAAGATAAATCATTTATAATGCAAATAACATCCTCCTAATCTATTTGATTCTCTATCACCCTCAGCAAGTGACTTCTCTGGATCTGTTTCTCAGCCATAAAATAAGATCATTTTACCTGATGATGTTTAAGTTCACTTCCAGTTTGAAAATTTTATGATTCTCTAAGTCTGGGTTTTTGGCATTTCATAAAGTAGAGTGTACTTGCAAGCAGAAAATCTCTATTCTTAGTTTTAGCCTAATCTTCCAGACGTGTAGTTCCCTCTAGACACATAGGTATGGGTCTAAACAAAGGAAATAATGAGGTTGTTTGGGGACAGCTGAGGTCTGGGGTGAGGCTCTCTGTTTGCTTCTCCTGAGCCACCCAGGCATTGCAATCAGGGTGTAGATTTGGGAATGGCCTTCTAGGGGAGCTTGGCCTGAGACTAGTGGCTACTTTCAGAGGAGTCTGAGAGCATGTGCTGGACAGAAGCATAGAATCCTCGAATGCAGAGTCTAAAAGAGATCTTGAAAGTCATTTAGAGCATCAAAATACATGAGAGAAAAACACATAGAACTTCAAGGAGAAACTGACAAATCCACTATCATAGTTGGAGATTTCAACAGCCCTCTATCAGTAATTGACAGATCCAGCAGGCAGAAAATCAGTAAGGGTATGGTTGAACTGAACAGCACTATAAATCAACTGGATCTCATTGATATTTATAGAATACTCCAGCAACAGTAGAATACACATTCTTCTCAAGCTCACCAAGATAGATCACATTCCAGGCTATAAGACACTCCTCAACAAACTTAAAAGAATAGAAATCATACAAAGTATGCTTTCAGACCACAGGGAATTAAACTAGAAATCAATAACAGAAAGATAACTAGAAAATTCTGAAATATGTGGAGGTTAAACAACACACTTCTAAATAATACAAGGATGAAAGAAGTCATCTCAAGAGAAATTAAAAATATTTTGAACTAAGGGAAAATGAAAATACAACTTATCAAAGTTTATGAGATGCCGTGAAAACAGTACTTAGAGGGAAGTTTATAGCACTGAATACATATTTTAGAAAAGAAATCTCCTCTGTGAAAGACAACATCAAGAGAATTAGAAGACAAGCTACAGACTGGGAGAAAATATTTGTAAAAGATACATCTGATAAAGGACTATAATTCACAATATAGGAGGCTTTAAACTCAACGATAAGAACAAACAACCGAATTAAAAAATTGGCCAAAGACCTTAACAGACATCTCACCAAAGAAGATATGCAGATGGCAAATAAGCATATGAAAAGATGCTCAACATCATATGTCATCAGGGAAATACAAATTAAAATAATAATGAGATCCCACTACACACCTACTAGAATGGCCAGAATCCAGAACAATGACGACAAAAATTGATGTTGAGATTGTGGAGCAGCAGGAACTCTCATTCGTTGCTGGTGGGGATGCAAAATGGTCCAGCCACTTTGGAAGACAGTTTGGTAGTTTCTTACAAAACTGAACATACTCTTACCATATGATTCAGCAGTCACACTGCTTGATACTTATCCAAGTGAATTGAAAACTATGTCCACACAAAAACCTGCACACAGATGTTTATAGAAGCTTTATTCATAATTTCCAAAACTGGGAAGCAACCAAGATGTCCCTTAGTAGGTGAATGGATAAATGAACTGTGGTACACACAGACAGTGGGATATTTTCCAGTGCTAAAAAGAAATGAGCTATTAAGCCACAAGAAGACAGAGGAACCTTAAAAGCATATTACCAAGTGAAAGAAACCAATCTGAAAATGCTATGTACTGTATGATTCCAACTATATGACATTATGGAAAAGGAAAAAACATGGAGACAATAAAAAGATCAGTGATTGCCAGGGGAGGGTGGGAGAAATGAATAGGCATAGCACAGAGGATTTCTAGGACAGTGAAAATACTCTGTATGATATTATAGTGATGGACGTATGTCACGGTAAATTTGTCCAAGCTCATAGAATATACAAGAGTGAACTCTAAGGTAAACAATAGACTTTCAGTGATTATGATGTTTCAGTGCAGGTTCATCCTTGATATATACAAAGAACCAGAATGTACCACTCTGGTGAGTGATGTTGATAATAAAGGAGGTTATGCATATATGAGGGCAGGGGGTATTTGCGAAATCTCTGTACCTTCCTCTCAATTTTGTTGTAAACCTAAAACTTCTCTAAAAAAATAAAGTCTTAGAGATAATTGAAAAGAAGGAAGATCTAAAATCAATAATGTAAGCTTCCACAATAGGAAACTAGAAAAAGAAGAGCAAATTAAATCCAAAGTAAGCAGAAGAAAAATAATAAAAATTATTAATTTTGACATTAATTAGCCATTAATGAAATTGAAAACAAGAAATCAGTAGGGAAAGTCAATGAAACCAAAAGCTGGTTCTTTGAAAAGATCAATAAAATTGATAAGCCTCTAGCCAGGCTAACCAAGAAAGAAGAGAAGACACAAATTACTGGTATCAGAAATGAAAGAGGGGACATCTCTACTGACCCCATGGGCATTGAACATATAATAAAGGACCATTGTGAACAACTCTATGCCCACAAATCTGATAACCTAAATGAAATGGACCAAGCTTTAAAGACATAAGCTACCAAAACTCACACTAGGAGAAATAGATAATCTTCATAGGCCTATAACTATTAAAGAAATCATTTGGCACAAATGCCTTATTTTACAGATGGAGGAACAGAGGCCTAGAGAAGAGGGAGTGATTTATCTGAGAATTCACAGTGAGACAGTTGCAGGGCCTGGGCTAGAACATAAGACCCCCCATGCCATCAAATATGCCTGTAATTTAGAGTTGGATGGGACCTTACTGATTATCTAGGGGGTTCAAGGCACTCCTTTAAAACTGTGGGTTCAGAGTATGGAAGGGATGTAGGTATGTGTGAGGGAGGGTGTGTGCATGTGTGTGTGTGTGTGTGTGTGTGGTGTGTAAAGCAGTATATATCAAAATGGACGTGAACATGGGGAACATGCAGGGGTCTGTGAATGGGTGCAAGTGTAGGAAGTGTATTGGTGTCTTGGGGGTGTGTGGAGTGCTTGTCCAGTGGAGACTATGAAAGAGCTGCCCTGTTTGGACCTGCTGGCCTGTACTTTAGGAAGTCCCACTGTGCCTCCTGGATGCTTCTGATGAGCTTCCTGTTAGACATGGCGGTCAGGGCAATGACCAGACACCTCAACATCTGCTCCAAGTTGGGTGAGTCCAGGCCTCAGACTACTTCTCCTTGACCCCAGAAGCACCCAGCTCAGGTCCCCTCCTCCATCCTCTAACACCCAGTGGGTTTGCGTCAGTCACCACTCCTGTTCACATCTCTCCGAGTATAGCAGAAGGAGCCCCAGAGCGGGAGTTTGGGAGCCCCACGGTCTGGATCTAGCTCTTCTGCTGGCTCATTTATTGACCTTTGGCCATCCTTGTCCTGGCTTTCAGTTTCCTTATCTGCCCTGCCTCCCTGTTCAGGGCTAATCCAGGAATTGGGAGTGGGAGTGGTGGCTGCTGTGGGGGGAAAAGAAAAATTACCCCAAGCAGAGCAGCTGTTTAAAATACAATAAAATATTTCTATGTAAGATTTTGCTTGAAAAAAGGGTTCCATAGCTTATCAATTTGTATCCCACTGTAGTCCAACCCTTGCCTGTTAAAGGATGGGAAACTAAGACCTGGACAGGGACGGACTTGCCTAGGGCCACATGGTCAGTCTGAGGCAGAGCCAGGAGGGGACCCCAGACTGCCCCAGGGGGAGCAGCTGTTGCTCTCTGGGACCTCCGGACCCTGCTTGTCACCATTCCAGCTCTCCCACCAGAGGGGACTAAGGTACAAGACATGTGAGTCTCGGTTCTTCTAACCTTGGCCTTCTGGAGCAGGAGCTGAGCTGAATGACTTTGCTGTCTTCACCACCTTTGGCCTGGCATCAGCCCTGCTCCTAGGCGTGAATGGGGCTCTGAACGGGTTCCTGGCCATCATCTATGTGTTAGCTGCTTCTTTCCGCCTGTGTTTTTATTCAAGTGGTGAGTGGAACCCAGGTTGCCTCATGGCTCAGGGAATAGAACCACAGAGGGGGAGGAGCTTGGATGCCAGAAGCCTGGGGTGCAGTAAGTGCCTCCTCTCCTTCCCTTAATGGGTTTCTCCTCCTGCCTTCTCCCTGCCCCAGGCCCTCTGGAGGCTGCAGGCTGCATTGGCAGAGCCTTTCTCTGGGAGGCAGGGGTCCTCGGTTTGGACCAACTGTGCCTTTTTCTCGCTGTGTCACCTTTGGATGGAGCACATGGATTCACAGACTCTAGAACTAGAGGTCATACTCCAGTTTCCCAAAACAGATGGAGAAACTGAGCTCTGACAAGGGCAATTCCCTTGCTGAAATTCACAACACGAGGGAGTGCAGACGCAGAGGAGAACAACTCAGAGGACCCTTCTCCAGAGGCTTCCTGGGCCCGGGGCATATGCCTGGTCCTAGCTGCCTGCTTTACCCTGGGGATCCAGTGCAAAACCCACACATCGCCTCTGTGAATAACTGAATGCTTTACAACCTGCCACTGCCCTGGGATTAAGGGGGTTTGGAGCGTGGGGTGGGGAAGACCTAAAGTCCTCATGTTTTCTTTCCCTAGCAGGCATTCCCTTCACATACAAAGGTCTACCCTGCCCCTACGCTTCCTGTGTCTTGGCCTCCACCTCCCTTCTGACCAAAGGCAACACGTTCATTCTCTCTTGCATGGCCTCACTCATGATCCTCTTCATGATGGACCAAAGCTACTACCCACACGACGAAATCCTGGAGTCTCAGAACTGGAAAAAAATGGTTTATCTGGCAGGTGAGTGAAAATACTGCTCTCAAATGTCACTAGGTGTCATGTGTTATTACTACTGCTCATGGCCCCTCTGTACCTCACCCAGCATACCCCAGCTCCCTTACCCGGCGTTATTTTTCTCCGTAGAATTTATCATCATCTGACATACATTTCCTGGTTTGTTGTCTGTACACACTAAACCTGCCCCCAGTAGAGGACTGTCTTATTCATGCTGTAATCGCCAGTACCTCGGATAGCGCCAGTCACATAGCAGATGCTCAATAAATATTTGTTGAATGTTCTTGAGTTCAATGGGAATTTAGGGAATTCCTGCCATATGCTAGGCACTGGGAATCAAATTGGTAAACTAGACAAACACTTCCTGCCTCAGGATTTGCCGTCTGATGGGGGAGACAGACACCAAACAAATAATGGCAGAAATAACTAGAAATGTATAGTTTTGATGTGCTGTGAAGTACAGGGTGCTCTGAGAAGGTGTCAGAGGGTGGCCTAATTTAGACCGGGATGACTTGAAGAGTGGGAAAAGGTCCTTAAGGTAAATAAAAGCTGGGTGAAGATGGTCAAAAGGTAAAAACTCCACTTATAAGATAAATAAGTCCTGGGGATGTAAGGTACAGTATGGTGACTATGGTGAATGATACTGTACTGGATATTTGAAAGCTGCTAAAAGAGCAGATCTTAAAAGTTCTCATCACAAGAAAAAAAATCGTAACTATGTGAGATGGATGTTAGCTAAACTTGTGGTATCGTGTTGTAATATATACATATATCAAATCATTATGTTGTACACCTTGGACTAATACCAGTGTATTTTATGTCAATTACATCAATAAAACTGGAAAAAATTTGATAAATGAAACCAAGCGGTGGGTAGGAGAGGTGGTTCCGAAGAGGAAACAGTCTTTTGTGAAGGCTTTGAGGCAAGAAGGTGCTGGATGCCACAGTGCAGCAGTGTGGCTGGAACTTGCTGAGGGGGCTAGTGACACCAACCGAGGCCGGTGGGCACACTGGGCAGGATTCGGGATTTCATCCTAAAGGCAAATGAGAAGCCTCTGAAGGGATTTCTGGGCGACAGTTTTAAGTGAGCCCTTTGACTGTAATGTAGAGAATAGATTATAGGAGACTGAGAAATGGAGGAATGACTTTTTGTCAGATGACAGGTGATGGTGGTGGTGGACATGAAGAGCTTTGAGATACATGTTGGAAATAAAATGAATATTGAGGAAGCAGGTTTTGGGCTAAAGCAATTGAGCGATGGGTTCCAGGCCATGAGGTCCTGTCACACCTGGTCCTGGTCTTGTAAACAAGATGAACGTCTGTGGGGATGCTCAGCTTCTTCCTTTCCTCCCTCATTGTGGGTCCACTCTGGTTTGTAGGGCCCCAGGTTCCAGCCTGACCTTCCCCTTTAGGTTCACACCCTTTCTTCTGCAGCATCAGCACCAACAACCCTGTCCAAGTTCTAGGCTCTGGCTCCCTCTGTGCCCCAGATGGCGAAGGCAGAATGAAAGTAAGAGGAGTCTTGGTTTAGAACCAAACAGACCTGAGTTCGAGTTCGAACTCAGCACACACTAGTTGCATCGAGCTGGGTTAATTGCCTCACTGTTCTGAGCTCAGTCTTCATCTATAAAATGAAGCCAATAATCCCTTGCAGGACTCTCGAGATTAAATGAGATAATGGAGATAAATCCTCTGGCACAGGTGTCCTGTAAATGGAAATTTCCAGCCCCCTTCTTCCCTCCACCTGCCTTCTTCTATCTCATGGCGACAGTGTTTCCCACAATATTCTTTGTGCCTGTAGACACCACTGATCCCCTCTTCTCAAAATAAACCATGCACCTGCCCTTAGCCTTCCTTGGATCGCCTTTGCTGTATGAGTAAAGCAGGAAACTGCACCTCACAGACTTTTGGCACTGGTTAATGCCAGAGCCCTTCTGGACAGACTTCAAAATGGCGGCTGTGGACAGTCCTCTTCCCCGGAGCGCAGCCAATCACCTTTCTAGACCGAGGTTCCTTCTCCTCCACAGAGCTTTGTGCATCTGAGAAACTGGCCTATGGCTCCTGAGACCTTATGTCACGTATTTTCCAGGACAACTCTGATTTAAAATATTGTCTCATTGCCTCAACAGACCAATGACTGTTCTTGAACTGCAGTCTTCCAAAGTTCCTGTACACCTCTGTAACTGCTTCTTACCCCTAGAGGTGTCTTCTGTCAGGTCGTATGTTCTGATTTCTCTGGAGGAACACTTGGTGGTTACACCCGTGGAGATGCCATTGGCCCATACTCTCCCACCCTCCTTTGAGCTCTCTGAGGCTGTGTAAGTGTCTAGTTTTGAAGAGTCCGGCAGACATGGGTTTGAATCAGGACCTTGTGCAGGTTACATCCTTCTGTTTCCTTATCTGAAAAATAGGCTTAATTCTAAATCACAGGATAATTGTGAAATGTAAGTGATATAATTTTTGTAACATACCTAGCAGAATGTCTAGTGCAAAGTAGATATTCCACAAATGTTGGTGCCCTTTTGCCTTTTGGTGGTGAATCTGAGATTCGAATTGTGTTGGGGGTCCCCCAAGACCACCTCCAGGTTCCACAATTCTCTAGGAGCGCTCACAGGACTCTGCATAGAATTGTACTCAGGGCTAAGATTTATTACAGCAAAAGGATACCAAGCAAAATTAGCAGAGGGAAGGTGAAAAGGGTGAAGTGTGGAGGGGCCAGGCACCAACTTCCAAGAGTCCTCTCCCAGTAGAGTCACACAGGACACATTTAATTCATCCAGCACTGAACTGTGACGACACATGTGAAGTTTTGTCTACCCAGAAGTTCTTTAGAGACTCACTGCTCAAAGGTTTTGTAGGAACTGGCCACATAGGCACCCTCTGCCTAGCCAATATCCCATACCAAAACCCCAGGCTTCGATGGAAGGAAATCAGTGTTCCATATAAACCACCTTGCTTGTACAGTCTGAGCACACTGGCCACTCTTACGGTTAGGGAACTGTTTACTATTCAAGTTTCCAGACACCAGCCAAGGGCCAACCTTGCAAGCAGGGTCTCAGGCCTGCTATGTTAACTCTTTTCTGCATGCATATAATATTGCATTGGCCACTATCACATGTTAAACTTGAAACAATTAAGAATATATATATATTTTTTCCTAGCAAGGCATCTGGGCAGCTCATATTTGTTTTTGGCTAAGATTGATTTCTGATCTGAATTTGACAAAATGGAACCTGAGATTGCATTAGATTCTAATTGTCTAGTTACATATAGACAAAACTTCTTAAAGGCAGGGCTCATGTCTCATTGGTTTTTGTTTCTTAGGCACTATGAATAAAAAGTGAAGGATGGAAGGATGGAGATGAGAGAGTAGAGGGTGGAAATACACATAGAGCTTCATAAAAATTGAGCGTTTGCCTTTTTTCTTCTTCCAGGTGTCATCATGCTATTTTTGTCTCCATTCTCGCTAACCGCTTTTTACTGCCTGATGTGGTCGCTGTCCTACATCTTCTTTCCAGAAGTTCTGTGGGGCAAGGCAGAGTGTCTTAGGCTACAGCACGGAGGAAACTAAACAGCTCTACCAACGGCCACTGGCCTCTGTGGGGTTTGTGCCAGCGTGCCGGGCCAAGCCTGCCTTATCCTCACTAAATCTTTCCTTGTCCCTGCATTGTGCGTGTGCAAGATACATGTTGCCTTGAACTAGAGCAGCCCACAGTGGGGCCAGCGGCCTTCACTTCTGCCTCTTTATTCAGGGCTCTGAATCCCTTGGGGACAACAGTTGCCTATGTCATATAGAACAGAATTTTTTCTTAAGCTAAACTTGGGCCAGGTTTGAGTTCCAGCTTTGTTTTTAGCTGAGTGACCTTGTGTACTGCGGTTAACCTCTAGGAAAGGAGTGAAACCATTTGGTATTGGTATGGCCTCCACTCCAGTGGTGGGGTGGTGCTCACTAAAGCATTTCTTTTTTTTTTTCCTTCTTCTTGTTCTTCTCCCCAAAACCCCGCAGTACATAGTTGTATATTCTAGTTGTAGGCCCTTCTGGTTGTGCTGTGTGGGACGCTGCCTCAGTATGGCCTGATGAGCAGTGCCATGTCCACGCCCGGGATCCCAGCCAGCGAAACCCTGGGCCGCTCAAGCAGAGGGCGCGAACTCAGCCACTCGGCCACGGAGCTGGCCCCTAACGCATTTCTTAAACTCGCAGTGTCTGGCTCTGTAGATCAGAGCAATCACAGGACAATCATGTTGCCCAACTTGAATGTGTGTGGGATTTTGTAACTTAAAATTCTATGTTTCAACAATGAAATCGTCTGCCTTTTGCTTTGTTTAGAGATTAGACATATTGGCAGCTTGAGGACATCATTTGGTTTCCAGGATCTGTTGAGTGGTTTTTCCCTAAGCCCTAAAATACTAAACTCTAGATATTAAACACTACTTCATATTCTAAAATCCAAATCAAATAAAAATAAACAATATTGCTTTCAGGTCCACTGAAAGCAACACCCCCCAGCACTGCCTCTGGACTTTCTCCCTCCAGATGTTTCACCAAAGGACTGTTGGCTAGTTCTGCCCCTTCCTCAACCAGGGCACCAGAGCCCCTTTCACCTCAGGTCTAACTTCTTGAAGTTTGCAGCACAGTGCATGTGGCAAATATGCCTTAAATCTAAAATTAGGTTTTAAAAATAGAAATCCAAAGAAGTTCATATGACTATGATTTGGTTTTAAAGGAACAGCTAGCTCCCGCCTCTTCCCCACTGCCCTCTATTCATATCTCAGCTGTATCACGGATGTTTTTTCCTAGTTAGATGAACATGTCTGTGTCCCACTAGATTTTAAGTTCCTTCAGTTTTATGTTTTTTTATTTCTGCTGCCTGCCACAGTGCCTGGTGCTCAAAAATGTTTACTTTGGAGATGAATTGAATTAAACACGACACATAAAATAACTAGAATAGTGAATGATGTGTAAAAGGGGTTAAGTAAATGTTAGATCTCTCCTTCTCTCCCCTCTAGCCTTCCTCCCTTTCTGTTAGATAACTTTCCATTTAAAATAACAGTAACAATAATAGTTAACATATATTTAGCCCTTCTTCTGTGCCAGGAACTGATCTTTGCACTTTACTATTCCACTTAATCCTGCACACAACCCAACGAGGGAAGCAACCATAGGCTTAAGTCAGAAGTTCTGAAAGTGTTCCTGACACCTTTTCAGGGCTAAAACTATCTTCTTAATAATCCTAAAACCGGGACTGAAATGTCGCTATTGACATTTTGCTAATGGTGCAAAGCAACTGTGGGTAAAGCTGCTGGGACCTTGGTGCGAATCCAGGCAGTGGCACTAAATGGTACTGGTTGTCTCGAGGAAAAACATTGGTTTGAGTCTGAACTGAACTAGCTGCTTTTCTTATGAAACACCAAAGGATGACTGACAGACAAACTAGGGTTTTTCAGACGTGGTTTTCTTGAAATATGAACTGGGTGAGACTGTCACTTCAAGAAAAAACAGTTCTTGTTGCCAAGGATAAAATTTGAGCATTTAAGTGAGCATTAGAATTTTGGAAACTTGTATCCACCACCTTGACACTGACAGTTTTCCAATACTCAAAGACAGTTCTTTTTTGAAGAAGAAGAAGATTAGCCCCCAGCTAACGTCCATGCCCATCTTTCTCTACTTTATATGTGGAACGCCACCACAGCATGGCTTGAGAAGTGGTGCATAGGTCTGAGCCCAGGATCCGAACTGATGAACCCTGGGCCGCTGAAGCAGATTGCATGAACTTAACCACTACACCACTGGGCTGGTCCTTACTCAAAGACATTTCTTTTTTTTTTTTAAAGATTTTATTTTGTCTTTTTCTCCCAAGGCTCACTGGTACATAGTTGTGTATTTTTAGTTGTGGATCCTTCTAGTTGTGGCATGTGGGACGCCACCTCAGCGTGGCTTGATGAGCGGTGCCACGTCTGTGCCCGGGATTCAAACTGGCAAAACCCTGGGCTGCTGAAGCAGAGTGTGCAAACCTAATCACTTGGCCACAGGGCTGGTCCCTCAAAGACATTTCTGATGTGATCAGTGGGGATATTAATGAATATGTTTTTGTTTGGTTTTTGGTGAGGAAGATTGGCCCTGAGCTAACATTTATTGCCAATCTTCCACTTTTTGTTTGAGGAAGATTGTTGCTAACATCTGTGGCAGTCCTCCTCTATTTTGTATGTGGGAAGCTGCCACAGCATGGTTTGATGAGTGATATGTAGGTCTGTGCCTGGGATCTGAAACTGTGAACCCCAGGCCGCTGAAACGGAGTGCATGAACTTAACCACTATACCACTGGGCCAGCCCCATTATTAATTTTTTGATGCAAGCCTTCAAAAACATCTTCTCTTACCTCTGATAAACTGGGAATGGATCACATCAGGGCTGAGGCATTTCATGCAAGTAAGCAGAAACGATGTGTTCTAGTTTTCATTGATTATGCTTCTAAGAGCCTTAGCATTTGTGCTATTCCAACTATGGATACAAAGGCCTCTGGAGCCCTTACCTTGGCATTTCTCAGGTAGGAGATAAACCATTTCGTTTTTTAAAATGTGAATAAAAAGATGATCCATTCCTGTCTTGGTTCAGGTATCCTCTCATTTCTCAAACTTTTTTTTTTTTTTTTTTACCACAACCCACAGTAAGAAAAAACTTTGACCTCAAATGCAGTATACACATTCGTAAGTGTATATAAACCTGAAACAAAAGCTTCATGAGACAATATCCTTACCACATGTGATATTTTTTAATCTATTCTATTATTTCATTTAAAAGAAAAGCTGGCCACAATTTATTAAACTGATTTTACAAACGCTTACAGTTTGAAAAACTGCAACACTAGAACACCTCTCTAGAACAGAGTGTGTCCAGGGCTGATACACGTTAATACAAGCAGTTCCCAGCTAAGGATCAGAATCTTTCCAGCCAACGCTCATGCATTACTTGGTTCTGTGAAATCTGAAACATTTCTCATGAAACAAGGTGTCTGGGAAGGGAAGTAACATTTACTGAGTATCTATTACACACATTACCTTATTTATTTCTCAACCAGTGATCCTGAGAGGAAGAAAATACTATTCCATTACATAGATGGGAAAAGTGAGGCTTGGAGAAGTTAGTAACTTATCCAGCATAGAATTGGTGCTTGAGGAGCTGGCCCTGTGGCCTAGTGGTTAAGTTCGGCGTGCTCCACTTCAGTGGCCTGGGTTCAGTTCTGGGTGCAGACCTACACCACTCATCAGTGGCCATGTTGTTGCAGCGACTCACATACAAAATAGAGGAAGACTGGCAACAGATGTTAGCTCAGGGCGAATCTTCCTCAGCAAAAAAAAGAAAAAAAAGAATTGGTAGTTGACCCCAGGTCATTTGTCTCCAAAAATTGTGCTCTTTCTAACACACGACAGCATTTCCTTAGGTTTATGACAACAGCTCACCCCATACCCGTACTCCTCGAAAAAACAAAACCAAAAAATTTCCATTCACTCAAATTCAGCAGGATACCACAGAACTGAATTACCATTTGTGGGGATAATTTATGTAGAGATTATCCTTATTTTTGGGCTCTCCCCAAAACACATTCCCCTGCAGTGGTAGCAAGTTTCTTACACCCCATTAACGCCCCAGTTTACTCCTAAAACAAGCCACAGCAATGGGAACAGAATTCTCAGCGACTTCAGAGGCAGCAGGGAGACAAAGAGGAGCGGGGGACCACTTAAGACGTCCCAGCACCGGCAGGGAAAACGCAGGCATTTCCAGCGCGGAGAGCGAAGGAGGTGGCAGCGTTTGGCTCTTTTGCTGTGACTGATGATCTGCCTCATCTCCACACATATCCCACTTCATGGCATCCTTCTTCCCCCACTCCCGAGGAATAGCTGGAAAGGAAACGTCCTGAGAGAACAGCCTCTCCTTTTGCGCAGCGTTAACATAACGCCAGCGCTAGAACTGAGGTATGAGCCACCATTCCTGACGCCAACGTCTGCTGCAGAAACAACTTTACATTTCCACACCCAAGATGGCGGGCGCATGGGTCCAGCCTGAATATTCCCATCATCAACCCATTTCTAGGCCTGGTAAAGTAGCCCCCAAAATGAAAAACCCAAAGCACCTGCACCCCTCTCCCTGTTGGTGCACGCCTGCCGCTGGCTGTCTACATGCGCAAAGGGAGAAGGGTCCCAGCTTCCAGCCCCAACCCTGAGCAGCGGCTCACCTGGGAGTAAAGGGTCGCGTATTCATACCTGTGTGGCCAAAAACTTAGGGTCTGTGAGGTCTCCAGGAAGAATGAGAACTGGAAGCAGTCACGGTCTTTCTCTCCTCTCCTCTCCTGTCCACTCCCCTCCCGAGGGAGAAAGGGTGCCCTCTGCTCACCTCAACTCTTCTTACCCCGTACAGTCTCTTTGACGGCACTTTCTACGGCTAGGCACCCCCAAACTAACGTATGAGCAAATGAACATTTTATTAGAATTTTATTTGTATTTTTGGAGAAGATTTAGTTTCACAAGAAACACTGATTTTTCTCAAACAATAGAAAAAGGTTAAAAAAAAAACCACAAGGATCTATTGTCTTAGAAGAATAAACAAGTCTCTTCAGCAAGCATTGGGCCAATTCAGACTGGAGAAACCAGTGAGGCAGAAGTGACATAGGCAGTTCAGATGGATCCAGTTTTAGGAATAACACAAATGTCTTCTTGTCTAGTTCTGTAAGGCTCCAAATGGGCCATCTCAGCTTAAAACTGGTAAGAGGCTCACAAACGAAGCCTCCAGGGCCCCATCTCGGTGGACGCAGGGGCGGCTCACTCTCCAGGAGGCTGCATCTGCTTGCAGAACTCATCGAACTGCTGCTGCTCCAGCTCTGTCATGACTCTGTTGAGAGCATAGATCTGACAGGCAGAAAAAGAGACGTCAGCAGTGGACGCGGCTGCTTGGCATGCCTTCAGACACAACAGGCCGGGGCATCTGAAAATCCCAGAACCGCATCAGTAATGAGGCACAGTGATAAGCGAACAGCAGAGGTGGAGATGAATTCTATTTGGGGAATCACGAAAGAAGAAGGGAGGCAGGTGGCTTGCTCTGACTTTAAAGGATCAGCAGGATTCGAACAGGTAGAGATTGGGGAAGGGACATGATAGGTGCGGGGGGCGGGGATTATGATTAAATAAATACAATGGAAAAGTATAAGATTAGTTCTGGAAACTTCAAGTATGCTTATATACTATGAAGGCTATTACAGAGTGGGAGTTGGGGAGCTGGAGAAACCAAGGAAAGTATGTTGGGGTCGTAGATAGCTGCTACGCCAAGGAATCTGGACTTATCAGTCCAGCTCTGGAGGGCCAGCAAAGGCAAGTGGGCAGGGGAGCAACCTGATTCCATCGGTGCCCTGGGAAGGAGAACTGGAGACTGTGTGCGGGATGGAGTGAGGGGAGGAGAGCTCACAGGCCACTCAGGAGGCATCTCTGACAGCAGTCCAGGAAGGAGGGGAGGGGAAGGTGACCAAGGCAGGCAGTGGGGGTGGAAAGAAACCGCAAAATGCACTGAGGTGAAAGGCAGGGTACCCACCTTGTTCCTCAGCTTGCAGCCCTCCATCAATCCACTAAGAACAGAAACATCATAAAAATTCCCAATTTGTGGAAGAGAAAAACAAAGGGGTATGTTTATGTGTAGGGGATATAACTTGATTAATTAAAAAGAAGACAAGGGGGGAACACAGAAACTGAGAAGTGAGACAAATGGGCAGTGCAAAATAAGAGCAGAAATTAATGAAAAAGCAACCAAATGTACAATAGAGAGGATCACCATAACTGTGAGACAGATCTTGGAAAACACTGAAGAAAACCCTGTAAACCTCTGGCGTGACCGATCAGCTCAAAGGGAGTGGACACAAGAAAACATTATTAGAATTAAAAGAAAACATAATTACTGGTACCATGGAGATTAAAACAAAACATGCACTTTGTGTCAATAAGTTTGAAAACTTAAATTCCTAGAAAAAGTAAAAGGATAAAAACTGACTAGGATAAATAGAAAACTTGAATGATCCTATAATGGTTTTTTTTCCAAATATTTTTTTTATTTTGGTGAGATCCTATCATCTTTAAGGAAAATGAAATTCCACAGTGATGAAAATAGTTACAAACACCACCACAAGTGATTCTCAAAAAGCATCATACTGACAGTTAAAATGGTTAAGTTTTATGTTATGTATATGTTACCACAGTAAAAACAAATAAATAAATTAGAATGGTTAAACAAAAGATGCTGAGTGAAGAGAGCCAGTCACAAAATATAGTAACATATATAAAGTTCAGAACCCCCCAGATTTAGACAATATATTGTTATGCTACAAAATATTATTTAGGGGTAGATAGAGAAGTAGTAAATTAATACAGAACAGCAAGGGAGTGATTAGAGTAAAATTAAGGAACGAGGCCACTGCTAATGGGAAGGCCTGGGGACGTGCCGAGGGGGCCTGAGGGGCTCTAAGTTGTGGGTTGCGTTCTATTTCTCTAGTTGGGTGTTAGGTACAAGGGTGTGTTTTATTCATATTCTCTAAGCTGCACACACACATTATACGTATACTTTTAACACATATGTTTTTTAAAAATCCTCATCCGTGCTTTAAGGAGCATTTGTAATCTGCACATTACTGTGCTGAGACTGAGAGGACATTAAATAGCTTCTTGGAGACCCCTAGATCAAGGAGGCAGACTGGTGGGAGAAAGGGGAAAATCAAAGAAAAAAGAAACTTAACATGGGTCAGGGGGTCCGAGCCAAGGAATGACAGACTTTCAGGAAGAAAAGGGCCCCCAATAGTGTCAAATGCTGCTTCAACTGCCAAATGTACCTTCTGCTCCCTTTCACCCCTCACATCTCTCCTTCACATGGAAGTTTCTGGAATGTGGCATCTTTGCAGAACTGAATGGGAACTGTGCCTCTTCCTCCCCCGAAGGGGTCTTGTCACATTCCTGTGTTAGGAGACTGCATTCCAGGCAATGCACATAAAGAACGCAGCAAGGCAGCTGTAAGGCGGGCGCAAAAAGCAGGAGGCGAAGGTCAGAAGATCTTAGCTCGCAGTCCTGCCTGCAATCTCGCATTAACGACGGATCCTGGTCACATCGCTTCACTTCAAAGTGGGGATAATACCTTCTCCCTCACAGAGGTATTTCATCTATCCCCACCTTATTCCAGGAAGGATTTACAAAGGTGAAAATGGGAGTAACAATAATACCTGTGTAACAATAACGAGCCCTGGGGTAAGGATACATGTGGCCGTGCATGTCAGGTTGGCCCTGTGCCCGGCACATCTGAAGTGCTCAACAAGTGCTAGAGTGCAACTCCAATATTAGATTTCAGCCAGTCAACATAAGCATCGTCAGTTGTTCAATTTAGAGTCCACACAACAAACACAAACCGACCGCATGAAGCACAGATGCCTACTAACAATCGAGGCCCGTACTGAGCGCTTTCTCAGTGCCAGGCTGTGCTAAGTGCACGACATGTAGCATTTCTGTTCCTGACAACAATCCTGTGAGGCAGAGATTGCCATCCTCATTTCACCAAGGAGGAATCGAGGAACAGCAGTTCAGAGAGGTTAAGCATCTTGTCCAAGGTCACAGGGGAAGAAGTGGGGTTTACGGAGGAGCTGGGACTTGAAATCAGACAAGTAAATCTGACCTGTGTAACCTCATGGGAAGGGTGTCAATAAGGACACGAACGACGTCCTGAACAACACCTGTCCCCATAGCGTGCACAAAGGAGTGTCCTAGGGCTGCTTCTTACAGCGGCCCTCAATTGTTCGCCAAAGGGCCCTGCAGTAAAACCATCTGGGGGCAGGATCCAGCAGGGGCGGGGAGGTGAAGGACAGGGGAGGACAATTTGTTGGAATCCAGGTCCACAGCTTCAGACGGTCTGTCTTAATCCAAAGGCAGATTTCAGTTTACAGATTAACTGCAAACACACTATTACATTTACTTACCATGTTTACTCTCTGCCTCCCCCACCCAGTGCAGCTCCAGAAGGCAAAGATTCTTCCCTGCCTGTGCAGTCATGGGTCTCAAGTTCCCACAACAGTGCCTGGCACACGGGAGCCGCTCAATATTTGTTTAATGAACGGATCAAATTAACAAAAATTTAAAATCTGCCACTAGCAAGTGTTGCAAAGGAAGTGAGGAATGAGAATTCTCTTCCACTGCTAATGGGGGTGCAAACTCGGACAATTTCTTTGAGAGCAATTTGGCAATGTTTAGTAAAACTGAAATGTACCCAGTATCTCTACTTGTAGTTACATAAGCCCTAAGAAATTCTAGCACAGGTGCCAAAGGAGATACCTAAAGGTTTTTCATTAAAGCAATGTTTGCAATAGCAAAAAAACTACAAATAATGCAAATGTCCATCACTGGAGGAACACGTTAATACACTAAAGTGGATTCATAAAAGAGACTACTGTAAGCAGTGTGAGGAATAAACTAGATTCTTATATTAACATGAATAGTCTAAAAAACATAATGTAAGCAAAACGCAAAACAAAACGTGGAACTTTATTAATTTAAACATTTAAAACACAAAAGAACATTGTATCTTGTTCAAGGATATCTATTAATATATTTGAGTATAAAAATATATTAAAAAAAATAGTGGTTGCCCATAAGGAGGAGTAAAAGGGTGTATGACAGGAAAGGGGCAAAGTGGACTTCAAATTTATATGTAATTTTTATTTATCTTATTTCAAAAAGACTCCAGGCAAATACGACAAAACATTAACCATTACCAATCTGGGTGTTGAGTACCCAGATCATTGTTGTAACAGTCTATTTTTCTGTGTTTTTAAATTTCTTACAAAAAGAGAGAAAGAAATGAACAAAATGAACAGAAAGAGGGAAAAGAGTGTAGCAAGCTTTTTCCTGATATTAAATACTGAAAATACCCACATCTGGACGTGGTTCAACAGAGGCAGGGTAAACCGCTTAAGCTTTTTATTCTCAAGTTGATTGTAAGTGTTGACAGAACAAAGGAACACACTGGTGGGAGCTGAGCTTGGGCCTCCACTTCCTGGGTGTGAGCAGCCCCTCTCTGGGTGAAATCCAGCACATCTGTGCCAGGGGGTGTCTGACATCTGCTCTCTCACTCTGAACCCGCCCTTGCACACCCCTTCTCTTTCTTCTTTCCCTCAGGTCCCTCCCACAGAGGCCAGGAGTCCTCTGGAGACCTGGGACTGGCCAGGCTCTGACGCTAACTGGCACGTGACTCTGGGCTGCCCCTTCATCATTCTGGCCCTCAGTGATCTCTCTAAACCTGGCGAGCACCTGTTCTGGCAGAGGCCAGCAGGGCCCCATCACAGCTCTCCTCTCTGCTATTTCTCTATTCCCGCATCACCTCCAGCAGCCCACAGGCCCCCTCCTCCATCTCACCTCTGCTCTTTGTCTCTGCTTCAGCTCCTGCTGAGCTGACTTCTGCTTGGCCTTCTCAACTCTGCTGACAGGTTCTTTAACTTTGGATTTTTCTTTACGTGCAGGTGGATCCATGACTCGGCTTCTGAATACTTCTTAGTCAGCTCTGACCTGGATGGTACAGAAAGAGGCTGACTTAAAAAAAAAAAAAAAAAAGAGAAAGAACTGCCAGTCACTCGCTCAGCCCCTTCTTTGACAGGTGAGGCAGAGCGGCCCGGTGGAAAGGGCGCTAGATTTCGTGGAGCAGGACCTGAGTCCCACCGCCGCGACCTCGCTGGGCGTCCCTGGGAAAATCTCCCCACACTGAGCCTCAGTTTTCTCTGTCCGCAAAATGGGACAACAGTCCATTCCCTGGCCTCCTGCCAGAGCTGCCCTGAGGTCCAAATGAAAAGGCCCACGTGGAAGCGCTTCACACACTGCGGCGCGCTGCACCCAGCGTGGGGCTGTGTAACCGCGAGGACCCCCAGGCCCAGGGGGACCGGCCAGGCGAGGTCTCGAAGCGGGGCGGCCCGAGCCTCGCTCCCTCCCGGGCCTTCGGGCCACGGCTTCCCCACCGCCGCCCCGCTGGACAGTTACATCCCGGCTCGGCCGCAGGGTCCCCGCCCCCGCACGGGCCCGCCCTCCGCCGCCCGGCCCGCCCTGGGCCCCAGCCCGGCCCCAGGGGAGGCCGCCCCTCCCGCCGCTGCCCTTTCCGGGTGCGAAATGGCGGCGGGCGGCGCGCGGGCACCGGCGCCTTCCCTCTCCGGCCTCCGGACCTTGGGGCCCGCCGCGTCGCAGACACGGCCCACGCGGGGATCCCCGCCCGTTGTACCTCGGGGCCTGGAGTCCCGAGCCCGCCGCGCCTCGGATTGGGCGGGGCCGGCGCCGGGGGCGGGGCCGGGGGGGGGTGGAGCGGCGGGCTGGTGCGCTCCGAGGCCCCGCCCACAGGCAGGGCCGCGCGTGCGCAGAGAAGCTGTCTGGACTCCCAGGGAAGGCGCTGGGGCAGGGGCCGTTAGGAGTAACCAAAGCTTTTCCTGGGAATATATCCTGGGACAGCCGCTAGACTTGGAAGGGCGAGCTCTGAGACCTGGGACTGGAATTGTAATCTTCTGAACCTCAGTTTCTTAATTCCAAAAGCTGAGACGGTGATTGCTGCCTTCTTGATTTACAAGCTTATTAGGAAGATCAAGTGAGATGCTGTTTGCCACACTGCTTTGAAAAAGGAAATTGTGACAGAAGCACGGTCAATATAAACATAGAGAAACGTTCAAGTTCACTGATAATTGATAATTTTACAGTTACGATTTTGCAAATTAAAATAGCTGGCTATCATTTTTCATTTATTAGATTAGTAAGGATTGAAGAAAGTCGTAGATAAGTGCTTTGACAACAGAAATCTTGTGCAGTCTGATAATAATAACAACAAGAACAATAATAATAGCTACCTCTCTTCTGGGCTTCCAGGCACTGTTTTTAGAGCTTCACATTTATTCTTCATAATAAGTATGTATAATAATATACTAATATTATCCCCGTTTTACAGATAAGGGAACAGAGGCACCGAGAAGTTAAGTGACTTGTCCAAGGTCACGTGCCTGGTACGTGCCTCAGCAAGTATTTCAGCCAGGATACAGGATAGGACAGTGGCCTATCCAAAGGAAAACGTGTTCAGCCCCGTTGCTTTTGTTCCTCTAAGGACTCGGCAAGAACTGAAACAAATGATGGAGGCTAAGCAGACAGTAGCTCAGACCGGCACTCATACCTCTTCAAAGTATAAATTGTCACAACCTTTTTGGAAGCTCGTTTAGCATTATACATCAGACACCTTAAAAAGAGCACAACTCCACAAAAAGACAAATATGGCCTGGTTCCTCTCATACGAGATATCTAAAGTAGTCAAACTCAGAAAGTAGACTGGTGATCGATGGGGGCTGGGAGAGGGGGAGAAAGGAAGTTATTTAATGGATACAGAGTTTCAGTTTTGCAAGATGAAATGTGCGTATAGTTAATACCACTGTGCTGTACACTTAAAAGTGATCAGAATGGTAAATTTTGTGTTTTTTTTACCACAATAAAAAAGAATGAGCACAACTTTTGACTCAGCAACTCCACTTGTAAGTTATCCTAACTAAATCATCAGAGAGAGAACTATCCCTAAGAGTAAAAAGCTGGAAACAACCAAAATATTTGTAATAGGAGTTGATTAAATACCTGATAGGATAGCTATAATGGGATTCTGTGCAGCCATTAAAATGACATAGAAGAATATCAATTGACATAATAAAATGTTTTTAGCATATTAAATGAAAAAGTTACAAAAATATATGCAACATAATCACAATATTTGTTTTATTGTTTCAAAAAACATTATTATATACACATAGAAAAGAGGCTTGATGAAAACACACCACAACGTAAATCCGGATTACTTTAAGAGTAAAGGTTGTTTTTATCTTCTTTGTGCCTTTATGTATTTTCCAAAATTTCCACGATGAATATTTATACTTGAGCAAGATTTATACTTTCTTCTTTCAATTAGAAGAAAGTGCAATAAATGTTATTTTTTAAATTCTATACAAATGTTGATTGGATTATTATTATTAGTAAACTTAACAAAGCCAGAGTCTATTTCAGAAGTGTTGGCATAATAGTGGTATTTTACGTTTGTGTCATCTTGTACAGTTCATAAGGTTTATACAAGCTCTGGATTCGATTACAGCTGGAGACAGGGCGGGGACTTTTGGGAGGCATTAAAAAGCCAACGAAAACAGACTGGATATAGGGTATGAGGGAGTGGAAAAGCCAGACAGGAAGATTGGAAAAATAGTGTGGAAGCGCTGATAAACGTGAAGGTATGATGAGCCGGCTTGGGAAAGGCCGAGGAAGAGGATAAGTCAGAGGGGTGTGTGTGTGTGTGTGTGAGAGAGAGAGAGAAAGATGGTTAGTTTACACTTTTCTTTTCTTTTTTTGCTGAGGAAGATTTGTCTAACACCTGTTGCCAATCTTCCTCTTTTTTGGATTGAGGAAGATTAGCCCTGAGCTAATATCTATGCTGGTCTTACTCTGTTTTCCTCTATTTTGTATTTGGGTCACTGCCATAGCAGGACTTGAGAGGTGGTATAGGTCCATACCTGGGATCCGAACCCACGTACCTGGGCTGCTGAAGCAAAGGGCTCCAGGCTTAACCGCTGTACCACGGTGCCAGCCCTAGGTTAGTTTACACTTATAGGTGGCAATAGGCAAGAAGAGTCCAGTAAGCATGAGGTTCCACAAAGACACAGGTGTGGAGATACTGGTTTAGGATTCTTCATCAGGAAAGTGAAGGCTGGAGCGAGGAAGGAAGGAAAGTCCCCTCCTTGTTCTTCCACGAGTTTACGATCTCTCTCTCATCAACAGACTCTTGACCAGTCTGCAAAATTCCCTCGTCGGTTGACTGAGAGCTTACATTAATATAACTATAGAATATTCTTACAGTCAAGGTATATCCCATACTAAGACTACATTCACTTTATTGAACAACTTCTTTTCTTCTGGAGTCAAAAATTGCCTATTTTTTTATTTACTTCGCTATCTATGCATCTATTGTGAATTATTCCAGAAACTCTCCATCAGGACTATAAAACATCTCTTGATCTGGTCACATGAACTGGTGAGCTTGCAATGTCATTTTTTGTTGTTGGAGACATCCTTCCTTAGGCCCACCCTCCTCTCGCTGCAAACCGTCGTCTTAGCCTTACTGTCTGACTGTCATTCTAGGACTTTCCCCAACCACATTCTGGGGATTCCCATCTGCTGTCTCCTGAGCCAAATCCCCTGTCTCCTGGGTCTTCCCATTCATGATTTATTCTCTCATTTTGAAGGAGCACATTCTCCAGTAACTTCCCCTTAAGAGGTTCATGGGAGGTAAATTTTTGAAATCTTGCTTGTCTAAAAATGGCTTTATTTTATTCTCACACTTGATTGACAGTTCAGCAGGGTACAAATTTCCAGATTGGAAATCATTTTCCCTCAGAATTTTAAAGTGTTAGTCCATTGTCATCCAGCTTCTCATGTGGCTAGACTCTTGAGAAGTCTGATCTATTCTGATTTCTGTTACTTCCTAGGTAATTTTTGTTTGTTCATTTGTTTATGGAAGATTTTAGGATATATATTTTTCCTTCGTCCTTGGGATTCTGAACCCTCATAATGACGTGTCCTGGTAAGTCTTTTGCATTCACTGCGCTAGGCACTCAGTGGTCCTTTTCAACTGGGAACTGTATAGTCTTCAATTCTGGAAAATTTTCTCTGTGATAGATTCCCTTGTTTTTTCATCTTTCCTCTTTCATTTTCCATCTCTTGGTTTTGTTTATTCCACTTTAAAGAGATTTTCCTGAACTTTATCCTCTAGTTTTTCTATTGAATTTTCTCATTTCTGCGATAAGATTTTAATTTCCAAGAGTTTTTCCTAGTTCCCTGACTTTCCTTTTGGCAGCCTCTTGCTTTTATGTTGTGAACTCAGGATCTTCTCTTATTTTGTATTTCTGAGGATATCAGTTGGAATTTTCTGCCATTTCTTCTGCTTCCTAGATTGTCTCTGTTGTTTATTTTGGTCTCTGTCTTTCAAGTCGGAGGCTGTCCTCAGATAATAATAATAGCTACCATTTACTGGATGTCAAGGTCTATTCTAAGTATTTTACATGTTTTAACTAATTTAATCCTTGATGAGGTAGTTACCATTCTTATCTTTGGTTTACCAATGAGGAAACTGAGACACAGAAAGGTTAAGGCCCTTGTCCAGGTCACACAGCTTGAAAGAGAACCTGAATCCAGTCAAGCCTTTAGCTTTCCAGTTTACTGGAAATATGAGGAATAGAGAAATAAGTCAAATGATACCACAAGGAAGCAATCAGCCAAATCCAGAATGTGGGACAGTGTGCAAGACAAATTACCTAGTTTTACCAACAATCAAGGGTATAAGGAAAAATTTAAAAAGAAAGGCAGAGGGATCCTTATGGAATAAAGACACTTAAGATGTGTAACAACAAAATGCAGTGTGTGTACCTTGTTTGGATCATGATTTGAACCAACCACGTGTAAAAAGACATGTTTGACACCATTGAAAATATGTGAACATAGATTGGATATCAAATAATATCAAGAGATTATTGTCAATTTTGGTAGGTGTGCTAATGGCATAATGTATGTAGTTGTGTGTGTGTGTGTTTAAGGAAAGTCCTTAGGTAGATGCATTCTGAGGCACTCACAATTTAAATGATATAATGGCTGGAATTTACTTTAAAATAGTCCAGGGGGAAAAAAAAAGATGAGAGGGGGATGGATAAAATAAAAATTGGCAGCATATCAATAATCATTTAATCTGAGACATAAGTACTGGGAGCTTCCTGATAATACTGTCTCTACTTTTGTGTGTATTTGAAAATTTTCATAATAAGTTTAATAATGTGAAAGAAAATAAATTTAAAATAAATATGTATAGAATGAGTGAGGTGCTCAAAACCTGAGTGGAGTTTCTGTGAGCTTGGCCTCCGGGCTGTAGTAGGATGCTGGGACAGGCGCCCTGCCGCTTCCTTGGGGAACTCAAGGGTATCTGTATCAGGTCTTCTCTTTTGGGCCATCTTCTTTCTCTGGAGAAGATCACTTCTCTCCTGGGGAGAATCAGTCTGGTTCTCTGGGCTCTGTGAGCTGGGAGTGGGAAGGGGCTTAACTATTCATTGAGGGCTTTCACTCAGTCCCATTTCAGATGATGCCTCATCACCCCATGCCATCCCACTCGTCCCCTTGGGGGACTCCCCAAACCAGAAGCCTCTTCGGTCAGGACGGGGGGGGGGG